TGTCTCTGGTGAAGGCTCTCGCCGCTCCTGAGCCTCTGGCCTGTACCCCAGTTCTGTATGCACAAATAAATAAATCTTTAAAAAAAAAAATACCAAAATTTGTTTTCCTATGATTAAGGACCATTCCTCTGAAAAAATTTTTTGAGAAGATTTAATATTATATAGCAAAGGAATAAGAATAAGGTTTCTTGGTTTCAAAGTTCTGATTTGAAGTTAAAGCAAATCAATACCAAAACTTTCCTTCAACCAAATAAAAGTAGAGGATAAAAGCTTTTGTACATCCTCGGTATTATCAGGTTCCTAAGGATCTGAAATATAATACAAAGCTTGAGAATTATACATTTTGTACAATAAGTAAGTTGAAGAAATAAAAACTAAATATATGACTACACACATGCTTTCCAAACAATATTACAAGAAAACTTCTACTTAGCATCTTGAAATAATTTATATACAGAATTCAGAATTATACGAACCAAAAAGCAAGATGAAAGTAGCATAAATATAATAGCTGACATTATGATGCACCAGGAACAAAGTGCTTTCACCTCATTTATTTTTTTAGAATTCTATGATGCGGGCACTAATATACCAATTTTACAGATGAATGCACAAAGGCTAGAATTGGCCCGGGTTTACTCAGCTGTAGGTATTGAGGTGGATCTTCAAGCCCAAAAGTTTGACTTTAAAACCTGTGCTCCTAACCACTGTGCTATAATGTCTATCAATACTCAGTAAAACTTCAGAAATGTATTCATTCTTTCTTAACCTTATCATCATGAGATAAGGGATATTTCTCTTAACCATCTAAATTTTTAATATATTTTTTATTCCTTCCAACTATAAAACAATCCTCAACTTGCAGTCACTGATTTTATTTTACTTCTGTACTTTGAGGCTGCATTTGTTATACATATTTATTTATTATGAGGCTGCATGTATGTTAAGCTCTGCTAAGAATAATAACCAAGAGTGTATGAAATGCTTCATAAAATAATGTTTGTTTGAAATAAGAGGCGTTAAACACTTTCCCTAATTCTTTAACTATTCTCTTATCAAGGCTTCAAAGACTTGCTCATAAAGTGACTGCTGATGCTGATAACCACAGTATCTGACGGGGGCACATGATGCCCCGGGTTGCAATGCTACCAAAACAGTATCTTCAGTTTTTCTCTTCTATGTAGCAACATGGAGATGGGAGTGGACATTATGTAATAAATATAAAATACGTTTTCTTGAAATTCTTTCCCATTTTGCAGAAATACGTATCAAGCTAAATGTAGAAATGTTCTTTATTTAAAAAAACAGCCTATACAGACAACTCAAAGTCATACATGAATTTTAAAACACACACACAAACAAGTCTCATTTACAAAGTTATTTACATGATCAGAACCCATATGGCTGATTTAGACACAGAGATCAGTTGATGGAGACACAGCTGGGAAGAAGACTGCTGTAGTATTTTCCAGTACATGATATAAAGCAGACAAGGAGCCCCCGAGAAGGTAATTTCATCGCTTGGAAGATCTTTAGATTTTTAGATTCACACTTTATTTTATAAGTAAGAAATAAATCAAACTGGCTTTCAGGGGGACATGGCAGTGGCCTCAAGTTAATGACCATAATCACAGTGCTTCTTAATGGTCCTCCCTTTAAGGGCAGAGCTATTTGCAGAGATTACAGTTTTTACACATGACCTGTTAACTAAACCAATATAATTACTATATTGTTCTATGAAGACACAGGTGATCTTTAAACCCTTAAAAGTATAGATTGAGTTTTCTAAAGAGTTTTTTAGTTTAGATTCATCAACGATAAGATACATTACCTTTCTAGATAATTTTCTTCCTTATTCCTGCTTAAATGCGAAAGCTGACAGTTTCTGATTCACAGAAAGATCTAAAGGTTTTTGCTTTTTAGGCAAGTTCAGATTCTCCTTTGCTTGTTCTTTCTGGTTTTCAGTTTTCTGACCTTCGTCAGCCACACGTTTTCGCTTCTTTGCTTCAGTTCCATCACTAGCAGGTCCTCCTTTGGCCTTGACAGCCCATGCCTTGGTAAAAATATTTTGAGGGAAGATATTTAGGCAATAACAAAGAAACAGACAGGGAACAATTTCTTTATGTTTTAGGTAATATCCCATATATAAGGCAGCATTTGAATTATTAAACTAATCATTAAGGATTCTCATTCTTAACAAACTTCTAATTACTCAATTGCAGAGCATGTTAAAATGTTTACATTCTATCTGTAATGTTTCAGTCTAAACTGTGCGTGTATTTAGCCATATTAAGTGCAAATAACAAAAGGTGCCTTTTTAAGAATGAAACTTCATTTTGAGATTACCGTAGTAGATTCCCAAGCATTATAGGTAAACGTACAGGAAAATCCCATGTCCCCTTTAATGAAGGGTAGTACTTGGTAAAACTACAACCAGGAATTTACAACCAGGAATCTGACATCACTACAACCCCATTTTACTTCTGGGACTGTATTGTGTATTTAATTCCATTGTACGCTACAACCACATTCAAGAAAAGAACAAGTTTCACCACTACAAGGAGTTTTCATGTTGCTCACCCACTCCCCACACTCCTTCACCAGTCCCCAACTCCTGGCCCCCAGCACTCCGCTCCTCTACTTCCTATCAACTGGTTATTTCAGGAGTGTCACAGATGGTAAATACTCTTCTGAGACCTGCTTCTGTTCACGCAGTGAGAGCCAAACAAGATTCACTTGTTTCACCTGTCACTTTAGTCTCTTTTAATCTCTAATAGTTTTTCTCCTACTTTACTTCCCTTCCCACTTATTTATTACAGAATTGTTTACAATAACAGACCAATTAAACAGTAAATGTTTAAGGTTTACCTTAAAAAATTTAAAAATCTAATTAAGTTACAAATAACTGTTATATGCATTGTTCACAGTATGGCAAATGACATCCCTTCTTAAAATTTTTATGCATAATATAAATATGCAGGCAATGTTTTTTATAGCATGTCTACCCTGAAATAAAATCATTAACAATATTTGTAGCGCCACAACTGCATGATTCAGAAAGTGGAGAATATCTCCCCCCACTTTTCTACATCACTTGGGTTACAGGGACATTTAATAAACAGAAGGGAGAAATATATTTGAAAAGTATAAATAATATTTAATAATTCTATCTAAGGAACTCCTTTCTTCATACTAAATTAGTCATTTTTTTCTAGAAACTAGAATACTCTTCTCCATCCAGATAAAAATGTTGTTTTCATTAACAGCAAAAATAATTGTGTTCAAGTTTTTTAAAATATAATCATAACATTGCCAAGTTTCTTCCTCTTCTGCTGTGAAAGGTCTTATTCTATGCCATTTTATCTGATTCCTAGAAAACTTTTATCCCTTTATAAATACTTTTAAAAAGTACAAACATAAATTTGCCGATGAAAGTCTAAATAGAACTAAAGGAGGTTAGGCCAGTTTCTAGCTTCCTCATCTTGCAATTTCTTTATTCCCTAGCCCAACTGATTAAGGCCCACATCTATGCCACTAGGTACCTGTCTATACAACACCATCCAGGGGAAAGTTATTTGCAGGGCTTCACTGAGGCCCCACACACGCACTTTCCCCATGAATCAGAAAACTGTTCTTAGCCTTCCTTCACATGGCAGAAACCCACATGATGAGCAATAAGTATAATCCTCTTGGCTATTTTCCATGTAAAGGGCTGGACCAAAATACCAGCTTTTGTAATCTCCTTTAGTATTTAATATGAAAGAGCATTTTTTAAAAGCAAGGACCTAAAATAGTTGTCCAAAAATATGAGTTAATTTTATTTGCTTTTGATTTATAAGTAATGTACGTTTCTTGGGGTATTCCACTGACTTATAAAACGCAGGAACTTATACAAATATAAACAGTTAATCTGCCAAACAATTACCCGTCAACACCAATAGTTGATGTTGTAGATAGTTATAATTAACTATCAGTATTAACTAATAACTATTACATGTTCAAAGTGTAGAATAATTTCAGTTATTTAACTTCTTCTTCACCAAGAGTGTATTCCATTTCTAAAAACAAGGGTACAAATATTTTCAAAACCTAGGAATTCACTAAGATCCTAATTTCAGCATGATTATTCTTACCTTCCTTTCTTCAGTTGACAGTACTCTAAATCGAATCATTCCCTCTTTTATTATGTCTGCTTCATCTGAAAAGTCAGGATTGTCAGACAAAATATTACTTCTGTTTTCTTCTAGCCACATCTGGAATCCAGTCTTTGGCCTAAAATGGCAATTATGTGAAAACACTTGAAACTTAAGACACAGTTTTAAATACTTCGTAATTTTTCAGATTAGTCATTAACCATTAGTTTTTGCATTCCTACAAAAAGTGAAAGAAGCAGTTAATTATACCTGTTAATATTCATCTTATACATTACCTAAAACTGTTCTGGAGACTGCAGGAATGACAAGCTGAAAGATCCTTTGTAAGGCCAATTTAAAAGGATTACTCATATTAATATTTTCCAAGTGCAACAACCTTGAACACTGCATTCATAATACTCAGAATGCTAACAGACTCAAGGTCTCCAACCTCACTTAGCCCTTCTGGCCCTGTAAAATTCTTTCATATGTCCTTTGTAGGTTCTTTCTCTATTTCCCAATCCTGCTATTTGAGAGCTTCAAGAGTTCTCTCAAGTGCCTCACGCTCCCCACGCCCCTGTTCTCACAGCCGCCTGGCAGTGTCCATCTTTTTCTTCTATCATTACTATGGTGAGTGTAAACACAGCACACTTGTCAATTTTATTAGCTTTCACTCCTGATAAAAATTGTCTTTAGGTTACAAATGATTTAACACAAGCAGTATTTACTATCTGTTAGGCATGGCTCTAAATGCCTTATGTGTATTACTTCATTTAGTCTATAATACCCAGTTGAGGAAGGTACAATTAATATCTCCATTTGATAGAGGAGGAAACTGAGGCTCAGAGAGGTGAAATAAGTTACTCAGATACACAGATAGCAAAAGTCAAATCTGGGATTCAAAAGCCAGTGAGTTTGACTCCAGAGTCTCCACGCTTAGCACAGCAGCTGTGCTGCCTTCCACTAGGCTGTAGTAAATACTCAGTAATATATTTAGTGCGTACACAGGAAAAATTAGTGGCAAAAATAGCAGGGGAAAATGTTTACAATTTTAAATGAGAGCAAAAATATGGGATATAAACATATCTAATACAAATCTCACTAAGAATAAAATCTTTAATTTATTAAAAAAGAAAGAAGGTAATTGTTTATAAATGAGTAATTCAGTGATTTCTGTCTACACATGACTGTAAGGGATTGACAATTTCTGAAATGATACGAAGTTCAAATAGTCTTCTAAGGTAATTCTACTTCCAGAAAAACAATAAATCAAATAGCAACACTAAGTGAAAGTTCTCTAATTTACAGAAATGAATAAATACAAATTTTAATCAAATCTGGGTAATGTCAAAATCTAACTCATGGCATCCTAGCTCCAAATAACTGCTTCTAGAAAAAAACAAAATCGGACACTTTTTTTTTCAAATTTGATTTAGTTTATCACTATCTGTGACAAAATATTTGGCTGAACAGAGGTAATTCCTGAATGAGAGTTCAGTAAGTCTTTTATATAGTCAGTTGATAATACAAAAAGTTTAATTTTAAATAAAATTTTTACTCTTTAATAGTTAATTCTAATTTGTAACAAAATAGGATAAGTAAAGGCCATAGCTACTTCTCAAACTGGATACTGGTTAAATAAAATGCTAAAAATGAAATGGTGACTTTCTCAATTTAATTGATGCATTTCAAATAGTATAACATAACACAGATAAAGACATCAGCTAACATATGCCACTGGAGGGCAAGTAAGACTGGGCCACACAGGGATGCTCATTTTGCTGGGGCTGTATACAATGCTCCAAAATCAACGCAGAACAATTTTGTGATAGTGGCTGGTTTGACATGTACATATCAACTTGAACCATGGAGGAATCTACCTTACACCTATATGCATATGGAAAAATGATACTCCTACAATTACTGATTGCAGTAGTACTTGTGTGCAAGAGACCAGCAACCTTTTGTCCACGAGCACAGCATGAGATGGAGTATAGTATCCAACACATGGAAAGAGATTAAAGAAAACTACCCCCCACCCCTCACTCTTTGGCTTATTTCTTTTCTTTCTTTCTTTATAAATTTTCACATCCTTGTTCATTTTTGTACAATGTTTGATTTCTCCTCTCATTTGTTGTCCCCATAAAATTACTGCCACCACGACACCTGTGAACCATCACTATTGTCTCCTGTGCTTTTCCCTCCTTCCTGTTTTGATCCCTTCCCCTCCCCTGACAATGTCTCCAATTTATAGTTTGACTGCTAGTTTTGTTAAAAAACCCTTTAAGTATTAACTCCAAATGATCTGCACAAGCTGCTGTTAAGTATGGGGTCGGGAGAGGGAAAGGGAAGGAAAGCAAGATATAGAAGAATATGAATGCTACCATTTCTGTAAAACTAAAAGGGACAAATATAAGTATTTGGCACATATATAGAATCATTCTGGAAGGCTATCAAAAGAAACTTGCTGCTCAGATTGTTTATGCAGAGGAGAACTGGGTAGACAGGAAAGAAATTCAGTCATTACACATTTTCTTCTATTTTTTGACTATGTTTATCCATGTAGCTAGATTATTCTTTAATATCAAAGTAAATTAGTACTACTTCAATTTTTAAAAAGGGAAACAAAAAATCAAACCCAAAAAAGAACTAATTATAAAATATGGTATCCCAATAAAATATATCTACAAGTTAATACATATACATAATTTATCAAAGCATTCTTTAATGAACGATATGGATATATAGACACTACTCAGAACTTGTGGTTCCCTTAAACTCATAAGTCATCAGAAAGTCCACTGCGAGCACCATGCATTGCTTATAATAATGAATAACAGTTGGATGCTTTTTATTGTTGCCTCTGTCTTTTATTGAAACACTATCTTGAGAATACGTTTCTCTATGTACTGACCTTTGGCTTTCAGGGTTTTGAGGACAGAGATCTGTCACCACAGGTGTGTTGGCTGGTGAAATTTTAGGACTTTCTTCTTTTATTTCCTCAGTTTTATCAATCTGGGAAGTTCTTTTTTGGAAATAGGATGCTGCAGATGCCTACAAAGACAAACATTATAAAAACCACAAAAAAAAAACAACCCACCAAACAAAATGGTATTTGTTTTTTATGTATGTTACAAGCAAATTTTGAGAACTGTGAAAGAATTCTGTTCTAAAATTCTTATATTGACACGTGACATCCTGAAGGTCTCAGCTGAGACTATACATGCACACACACACACACACACACACACACACACGCACACATGCACACACACACACACGTACACACGCCCTGCACTTCAAATTCCATGCTTGCTACAGGAGTAAAATTATATGACCTGGAAAAGATAAACAAGGGATTTATTTCACTGATCACAAATTAGGGATTAAATAAGTAGCAGAGAAGGCAAAATTAGAACACAGAACAAGGGAAGACCCAGGGCTAGGTACCACATCAGTTGTCACTGAACAGGCACATGCATCAGAACCTCATGGGGAAAAAAAAAATTATAGGTAGATGTCTGGGTCCTCAAATCTGGGGTGTACATATTTAAAAAATGATTCTGGAGCAAAACCAAAACTTAGAACCATTGCTCTCACTAGACAATCAATTATAAATAATTAGAGCCTCCTGCCCTCTCCCTGAAACAGTGGACAAAACCAAAATAAGACCAGCAGATCACATGCTATTTACTGGAGATAGCAGAGAGCTGAAACAGTACCTGCTTAGACTTTGGTTTTAGAACTAGAGGTTTTATGACTGGAGACTTGTCATTATTGGTGGCTCGAAGAAGTGCAGTGGATTTCTTGGATGATTTGTTCATATTATCTAAAATATTAGTTGCACGTCCTGAATTCACCGAAATGTTTGGTTCTTTAGAACTGGCTGACACCTAAAGAATAAAATAGCATTAGTATTTTATTCTTGAAGAAGAAGAAGAAAAAAAAAAAACCCTAAGAGATATTTCCTTTAAATTTACTTTAAGTTATAGTCTCACTTGGGAAGATTAAATACATTTGGTATAATCTGATGCATATTTTCCCAAATACCATATCTCTGAAAACAACAGGGAGTAATTTTTCAAAACCATGGATACTTAGAAAGTATACTTAGAAAAAAAGAACTGGGCCTCCCTCGTGGCGTAGGAGGTTAAGGGTCTCTGTGGCCTGGGTTCCGTCCTGTCAGGGAGCTGATCCACATGGCGCAACAGACCGCTCCTGGCTTGCCCACTGCTTCCCTCAGCACTGCATTTCAGTAAATCGGCCTGTTCTGCTCTGGTGAATCCTCTCATTCTCTATACCTCTGGCCTATACCCTAGTCCTTATATGCATAAATAAATAAAAATGAATCTTTAAAAAGAAAAACAGAACTAACAGCTTAAGGGTGCACAAGTTAGTGCTGCTTTTGTCTTTGTTTTCACAAAGCTCTGCTTCAGGCCTAGGGAAAGTCATCTGTTAGTCTGGGAATATTTCTCTGTAGGGAGATGTATTTAAATAATAGAAAATATCACTGGGAAAAGTTTACCTTGAAGGGATTTACTCGTCCTTGGTTGCTAGTGGTAACTGCACCTTTCATAAAAAAGAAACCACATTTAATGATGGTAGTAGAAAGGTTTCTGGTTTTTTAAAGTAGATGATTATTTTAATCTACATTCTGTGAAAATAAATGTACTTTACAACTTTAAAATTATTAACGACTACATGACTTTCTTCCTATTTTTCAACAGATAAGAACTATTCCCATAGATGGGAACTATGCCAATGTGTCACTACGAAATATACAAACCCAATCCCAATATTCATAGCTTTTTGCTTTTCTCCTGATACAGTGGAAGAATGGTGCCTTGTTTTAGCTAAAGTTAATAATCCCTCTCCTCATGCTATGGTCCTACTCCCTCCTGCTTTGTGAAGAAACCTGACCTATCAGCCATCACCTCCATCTTTAACTCAAGATTTCCTCTTAATTGACACAAATTTCCTAACTTAAACAAAAAAACAAGCTCTATTTCACATCCCTTCTAGCCACCATTTTCTCTCACTTCCCTCACACCATCAAATTTCTCAAGAGCTGCCTATGCAACTATTTCTATTTCTTTACTGCTTATAAAATCCTTATATAATATGGTTTACTGCCTTACCACCCTATAGAATCTGCTCTTGCTAAGAATTCAATAATATCTATGTGGCTCAAATTTTCCATAAATCTTATCTGACTTCCAAACAGCATTTCACAAAGCTGAATATCACTTTCTTCTTGATGTGGTCTTCTACATACTCAATTCCCTGGTTTACCTCCTTCCTTTCTGGTATCAATTTTCTTTTGATGATTCCGCCTCCTCCACCTTCTGATCGAGATTCCATAGGCCTAACTTCACTTTTTTCCCCTCACTTTAGAGCTTCTCATAATCCTTGCTCACTCATGCTCATGGTTTAAATGGATATATTTATGCTAATGGTCTTTACCTTGTATCTCCAGCTCAGATTAATTTCTCGAGTTCCTCACCTAAATATGAAACTCTTTATGTGACAGTTTACTTATTTAAGCAATCTGGTACCCTTCTACCTAAACCTTACCCTCCTGTTTCCTGACGAGTAAGTAGCACCATTATTCACTCAGGTACTCAAGTTAAAATCTGAGTCATTCTTAACATCATGCACTTCCACATTCTATGGCACTTCAAAACCACCTCTGTTCTCCCCATCCTTTTCACCATCAACCACTACCACCTGCTTACTCTGTGTCAGTAGTCTCCTTCCATAAGTCCCTCCTCCACAGCATGAGATGTCACGACTTTGCTTAAAACCTACAAAGGTCCCTCAGCGATCTTAGAATAAAGATCAAAATCCTGATCATGGGTCCCTCCTTGGTGGCACAAGGGATTAAAAACCCAGCACTAGGAAGCTCACTGCAGCCACTGCAGCACAAGTTCGATCCTCTCAGCAGTTTATTTCAGTCAGTCTGCCTGCTCTATTCCCCACTCTGTCTCTGGTGAATACTCTCACTCCCACCTCCTACACCCCTGCACCTAACGCCTGCACCCCTTTTCTTGTATGAATAAATCTTAAAAAAAAAAAATCCTAATTATAGCCTACACAAATCTGCATGACATGGTGCCTTTTCAGTGCCCAAAACCATTCAACTCACTTCCTCTTTTCTTTGTGTTCTTCATAACACTCTTTTATTTTCACACAAGTTGTTCTTCAAGCCCACCTGCTTTTCTTTTGCTCCTGTCCCTACCCATCTTTGCCTAGTTGACTTAACTAATCAAGACTCTTTGAGGCCTTCTTGGGAGCTCTACCCATACCTCACCACTTACTAGCTTCACCTATTGTGTGCTCTTTTAATGCTGTGCACATTTTAAAACTTCATTACAGTAATATATGTATATAATTTAAGAGGTTAGTTGGTTACTATAAGGTTTATGCTTAAAAAAAAAAAAAAAAAACTGGCAGTTTCCTATTCCAGTCTTCTTGATCTCCTAGTTTCAACCTCTAGAGGCAACAATTTTCAACTCCTTTTAGCTGCTTCTCCAGCAGCCTGCATATAACCGTAGTGACATCCAGACCTATCTTCAATATGTCTTCCCAGCTGGGCTGCAACAGCATTAAGTCAGGGATCAACCTCCATGTCTGCTTAACTCGTATGTGTCCTCCATCTAGCCAAATACCTGACATCTAGCCAAATGCCTGATAAAAGGCATTTAATAAATATTTGTTAAGTGACCAGTTGACCAGTTTTAGAATAACATCTTTGATAAAGGTGTTTAGATAAAAAACATTTTTTTTGTTTTGATAAGAAAAATAAATAAAAAACAGGCACTAAATGGTAAGATATATTTGAGTAGCAATAACACTTTAAAAAATTGCTTGGAAGATTTTCTTGCTATTAAATATTTCCTACCTGATGTAACAGTTGGTAGATCAGAAGAATTTGCACTTTTAAAAAATGGACTCTGTCCTATGGAATTAAGGCAAAACAATACAATTAATTTCAAAAGAGTCATCGTCTACCATCATAGATCAAAGATCTAAAAAGGTCTAATTATTCTATTTCTCTCAGCCAAGAAATATAGGGAAACCACATACATTTCTCATTTTAAATTTGAATTAAAAATGTATCTTACCATATTTAGGTATTTCTGGTTTTTCTCCTATATCATCAGATTCTCTGGTGTCTTCTGCATCATCTTCAACTTGATTTCTAAACCTGGGCTGGCTCCACTCTGTAGTAGTGTTACTATAACTAAGAAACAATATAATTCAATAAAGAGTTGTATAAAACACCAATATATTAATCCAATAGCAAAGGAAAATTCAAGAAGTGTTTCTTACCCAGCATTCAACTTTTTTCTGAAATCTTCTTCCTCCTCCTCCTCTTCTGCCTGTGTTGCTGCCAATTCTGCTGCCTTTTCTACAGCTAGTTCGCTAAGCTTTTGGGCCAATATTAACCTCCGAGAACGAGAAGCATATTTAACTGCTAAATTCACAGCATTTGGAGTCATTAGATCAGCAATTTCTATACAACGAAATTCCCGCTCCAGTTTACAAGAAAGCTAACACAAAAAAGGAGAGAGAAATGAAATCACGCTAAGAAAAACTTAAAAAAGAAAAAAGACATGCGTAAAATTGAAAAAATACTTTTCTAGATATTGCACCTCATTGATTCTAATATGCACATTTCTTTTTTTTTTAAAGATTTATTTTTTTTGCATACAGAACTGGAGTATAGACCAGAGGTTCAGGGATGATAAGAGGAGTCACCAGAGATAAGAGTGGGGAGCAGGACAGGTAGATTCACAAGGTACACTGCTGAGGGGGGCAGCAGGTGAGATTGTGGTCTGCCAAGTAGTGTGGGTCACCTCTCCCTGGCTGGGACTTGAACTTGAGCTGAGGTGGCTGCAGCTGGCTTTGTAATGCTGCACTTTAGCTGCTGTGCCACCAGGGAAGGCCCGCTAATATGCACATTTCTGGGCCCTCCCTGGAGGTGCAGAGGGTTAAAGCACAGCACTAAGAAGCTAAAGCCACTTCAGCATGATTTCAATCCCCGCTCTGCAGGTGACCCACATGGTATGGCAGACCTCTCCTGGCATGCCCACTACTCTCCTCAGCAGTGTATTTCCTCGGTCGGCCTATTCTGCTCCCCACTCTGTCTCTGGTGAGTTCTCTCACTGCCCCTGCGCCTCTGGCCTGTACCCCAGCTCTTTATGCACAAATGAATAAATCTTTAAAAAAAAATGCACATTTCTATACACTTAAACGTGTGAAATAGGGAAGCATCTTAAAACTGATGGTAGGTCACAATGGGAGCATTTTTCTGTCTCAGTATCTTAAATAAATAAAATGATAGAAAATTTTACAATCAATAGTACCTTAGATACATGGAAATAAGGCATATCATTTCAAGCAATTATGCTTACAAGGCAAGTGATGTATTTAAAATTCAAATGTGGTTCTCTAGATTCAGTCCCCACCACACCCTTGCCAAATAGAGTAACAAATTGAAAGAATAAATTGTATATGACGTGCTTATTTATTATTACTTTGCTCAGAATTGGCATATAAATACTACTATGTGAATCTGAGTGGGGCAAGTATATTTATCCATTCTTTATGTGTTATCCACTATGCTCTCCAATTACCAAAAGTCATAAATTTTCAAATTAACAACTTTTTCTTTTCTCTTTTTCTATTTATGACATAAAATGAAGGACATTCATTTACTATTGCTTAGAAAACAAAGACTTTTTCTGTGAAATTTTGTCAACTTAACTTGAGGAAACTAAAGTGAAGAATAATAATACTTCTAAGTCTACCAAAGGTCTCATAATTCATAGGACGGAAGGACTGTAAATGAGACATCCCGTTCTCACCCGTCAGCGCAGAAGGTTTATATATTCACCATCCTGTCCTCATGTTCCCTAGCATCACTTGTCTATAAGCAATACTTATCAGTTGGGACAATACTCTGCTGCAGGAGTGTTTGAAAATGAAAGGAAGTAGTATGCAGCTCACAGTTCCTACACCAAACTATGGGCATATGTCAGAGGGCCAAGGACTGCAGAAGAACAAACCAGTACCCAAAGCTACTCGTTCCCTATGAAGAACCACATTTCCAGAGGAAAAGTGCCTCTAAGGCTAAGTGGTAAATAAATCAAACATGCTTCCTTACATGTATTGTAGAAAGTAAAAAGGTTGCTAGTTTCTATAATACGAACAACACTTTATAAAAGAAACAAATCTTAATCCATGATAAACTTAACTTCTTTAATACTAAACTCAAAGAAGGCAGTGTTGTAATAGAGGTGAGAGAAGTAAACACCAATTTATAGAGATTGGACTTATAATCACTCTGTGGACTTGGATATCACTTTTCTCTCAGTATCTATTTTCCTCAACTCTAAAATGAAAAGTCTGGATCATTTACGCTCTCAAAAAAAGTGGGGTCTACTGTGTACCAGACACCACATCAGAGCCAAATATACGGCACTGAATGAGACATGGTCACTGCCTGAAAGGACTTAAGCCTACTAAGCTGCAAGATGAGCAGATAAAAAAATTATACTCTCCCATAAACCAACCTGGAGTGATAACACAAATGTATGAACCTGATGATTCCAAAGTTTAATTATCTTCAAAGATAAATTTACTTAAATTTCCAAGCCACCAAAACTCACTCACCAACTGCAAAATAGCTTCTACCACGCACAGTTGCGAAAGAGGATGACCAAGGGCAGGCATGTATCTCTAAAAGCCTTATCCACGCTTTAGCCAACCTTGGAGGTCTAAAAGCCACACTCAGATTTTATTTGTTGCACATGATAAAAGTAGAAGCTAGAGTTGATGCTTTCTTTCTTTTTTTTTTTAATTATTACAAAAGTTTATTTTTACATCATTTTGCACATTTTTTTTTTCCATCTCGATTGTAATCCCCGCGGGTTTCCCATCACCAAATCACCCGTGTGCCACCACCATAGAGTTGATGCTTTCTTAAGCATCAGAATCACCTGGAGAGCCTATTCTAACAGACCCAAAAGGGAAATAGGCTGGGAAAGTTTATTTCTGCCTGTATCTTACAAAAGTTAATATCTGAAATATTTTCATTGCAACATCAACTGGAAAACAAAACTTTTAAGGGATAAAGACACCATAAAATACAACTTAAAAAATCTAGATTGTGGACCTTAGTGCTAATTCACATACCTTTTTTAACCTATAGAAAAACATTTAACTTTAATTTTTTCTGCATATTTATTTTACTCACCGCAAGCAATTTCATTAGAAGTTCCTGTTGTTCTTTTATTGCTTGATTTTTAGTGCTTTCTTTATATTCATAACCATTTTTAGCTAAATAATCAAGATGGTTGTGAAACATAACCGAACGCCAAAATTGTTCCTATAAAAGTAGAAAAAATGCTTAGAATCAACATCAGCTTCATCTCAGGCTAGTGTCAAATATTTCACAATACCAGTTTCTAAATAAAGTATTTTCTAAAAATACTCTTATCTTCTTTTTTGTTAGTTTTTTAAAAATTTATTTTTACGTACAGAACTGGGGTACAGGTCAGAGGTATAGGGGCAGTAAGAGAATTCACCAGAGACAGAGCGGAGAGAAACAAAGTACACTGCTGAGGGGAGCAGCCGGTGGGTCAGGAGAGTGCTGCTGTGCCATGTGGGTCACCTCCTGGGGCTGGGGGTCAAACTAGCTATAAAGTGGCTGTGGCTGGTTTGCAGTGCTGCACTTTAACCCGCTGAGCCACCAAGGAGGGCCTTTTTTGTTAGTATTTTTAGTATTCTTTTTGTAGTAAAATATCTTATGTAAAATTGACCATTTTCACTATTTTTAATAATGGGGTTCAGTGGCATTAAGTACACTGAGTGTTATGCAACCATCACCACCATCCATCTCTGGAGCTCTCGTTTTTCTTTCTTTTTTTATTTCATTATATATATTGAGGTAAAAGTGGTTTATAACACTGTGTATAATTTGGGGGTACAAGTTCACACCTCTTCAGATGCATGCTATGGGCAACATGTCTACCACCAAAAAGCCAGAGTCCTCCCCCTTATTTCAGTGGGTTCCTCCACCTCCTAGCATCTCTTTCCCACAATCTTCCTCTATAGGTTCAGTTCTATAGTCAGATTTCTAAGGTTTGTTTTAGTGTAGTTTTTCTTTATATTGTACCTCGAGGTAGAGTCACCCAGTATTTGTCTTACTTACATCACTTAGCATAGTCCCCTCCAGTTCTATTCATGTTTTCATAAATAAGATTTCATCTTTTTTAATAGCTGAGTAGTATTCCAATGTGTAAATATACCACATCATCTTAATCTACTTCAGTTGTTGGGAAGTTAAGTTTTCATAATTTGGCTAGTATAAATAATGCTGCAGTGAGTATAGGAGTGATATATCCTTTTGTATTAGTGTTTTTGTATATTCTCAGTAGATACCTAGGTGTGGGATTGCTACACTGTAAGGAAGGTGTACTTTAAAATTTTGAGCAGCTCCATACTGTTTTCCAGAGGGGCTGAACCAACCTACATTTCCTCTAACAGTGGATCAGGGCTCCCTTTTCCAATACCCTTCCCAACACTTACTGTGTCCAGCAGAAACACTCCTTTATTTTAGTATTTTATTTTAGTATATGTGATGCCAAAGCAAACACATGAAATACTCCTTTATATAACATATAGTATCTTCTCACCCTGTTACTGCTGCTTATTTAATTATAATTTTTTTAATACTCAAAAGTCATCATAATATTTTTCAATGCTAGAGTTACAGGCAGTATGTTATCAAATTCAGAGTGTCAAGGTAAAGTTTCCACATACCTCCATTTGTCCTTTTTCTGTTACAATCTGACAGTAAGGAAGCTTAAATGATAATATAGCTACAGCAGGACGTGGAAGGGTGGGAGGAAACCGAGAACCTTTACATGGAATGCACCTGTCAACAAAGAAAAATCTCACCATCAAAACTTCCCAAAATGTCATAAAAACTGCTAAAATATAAAATTCCAAAATTTAGTAACTTGGAACAACACTAATCCAGTAGTTCGCTTTGGCTCTCTTTAGTTTTTCCTTAACAAATTGCTGATTTTTAAAATTTAGTAATTTTGCCACAAACACCTGTCATGGGACCTATATGATAAACAAGAACACTCTACGGTAAAATGTTGATGAAGGATAGTCACCTTCCTTCATCAGTTCGGGAATATTAGCATGGGGATACCTGGTATCTGGTAGAAAATATAAATAGAAAAAGATGAACTGTCTTAAGGGAATTGTCTTATTAGGTATTATGAGTAGGGCAGAAAATCCATTAATGATATAAAAGATTTTAATGTATACCTATTCCATAAATCAAAAGTTGCTTCATGTGATGAGATTATAATTCATTGGACAATGACTGCTAACCCTTCTATGCTAAATTATGTCAGGTATTCCAACAATACCTACTAAAGTAATTTATTAACTAAAAACATTCATTAAAAAGCATTCATTATTCAAAGGGTAATTTATATACAGGGAATTTTCTTTTAATTTATATACTCTAAATTATCTGTAAGAAAAACACTGGAAAATCAGGATTGCATACTATTAAGTACCCCTGGGCAAAGTTTCATAGTCATTTTGTTATAGGGCATTTGTGTATGTCCATAATATGATTGAATCTTAAGCGATGGGGTGAGGATCCACAGACAGGCAGCCCAATTCACATTGGGGTACCCTGTAACAATTTTAAAAACACAGGATTTTGCTCAGTGCTTACTAATAGTTATCCATTTAATTTACAATACAATCTTTTAGCTAGAGCTAAATGCTAAAACTTTCTTACAGGAAAATAGCAGAAATTAAGTCATTAGGGTTTGAATTTTTCATAAATACCTTCTATTACTATTAAGAGCCCACTGAGTAACTAAAAACCAAAACAAGTGGAACTACCCAGGAGACCTTCTCAAACTATAAACTATACAGGCTCCCTTCCTGTACAGGTTCCCTGGTGCTTTTTTGTGGTCATGTGATTAAAAATACAAACATGCTTTCAGAATTTCAATCATTCTAAACATACAATCTCATTTTCTTTCCTCCTCCTCTCATTTTACGATTTCATATAAATCAGTGATTTTTACCACACACGATGAAGTTGCAGTGCAAATAAATTTATTATAGCGATGGGTCATGCATCTGGGTCACAAAAGCTACAAGTTTACTAGTCACACAAGATGAAACAGAACATGCACATTCACAAAGGCCAAGTCTAATTACATACATATAAATGCAGTAACAGAATTAGGAGGCACATGAAGAGTAACTTTAATTGCCTTGACACCTTTTTCTGTAATGTGATTTATACCCTTTTTAAAAAAAATATTTTACCGCTCTGGGGCTTCCCTGGTGGCCTAGGGGTCAAGTCTCAGAGCTATCGAGCTATTGCCAACCAATGCAACATAAGTTCGATCCCTGGCCAAGAAGCCACTTGGAGCCCCAGGCCTCTCCTACCTCACCCGCTGCTCAGCAGTGTATTTTCAGTTTGCCTGTTCTACTCTCTCTATGCTGTCTCCAGTGAATCCTCCCAAACCTCTGGCCTATACCCCAGTTCTTGTACATATAAATAAAAAGTAAAATCTTAAAAAAACAGTTTACAACTCATATTCTTAATTGAGTTAGTCATAGAAAAAAGAAAAAGGAAATACTGATGAGGATTTTGTTAATAGTTCTTTTCAGTCACACATCAAGGCAAAAGACCAATTCACATTTCTTATCTCTTTCTTAACTTTAAAGACCTAAAGTAGCAAAGATAGTTTCTCTACAAAATATTCCTTTCACCGAAGAAGAAAAAATAAACTCTCTTATCTGTTAATTTGCCTACAATGAGTGAGTTTCCTGGAAACTACAGCTAGACTATTTGAAGAAGAAAATGTGACAAAACAAATCACAGTTTACTAAGGACATAAAATTACTTTCTTTTCAAAGGAATCACAAAATTTGTTCTCTTAGTAAAGGAAGACCTGGAAAATATCAAACTGGAGAAAATGAGGACCAATATCCAGCTGACTGAACTTCCCCAGTCAGTGTTGTTGCTTGGTCTTCTGCGTTCAAGGGACTTTGTTCAAGACTCTAAAACAGTTCTGACTCAGGAGTTGATCATGATTTTAGAAACAATCTCTTCTTGGCGTGGTCTAAATTAACTTTGTGTAGTACAGCACATGTAGTCAGTACTACAGCAAAAGCTTATTAGAGTAATAGCTTGGAAAAAGAATGTTTTCAAGCACATTAAATAATTCTAAAGAAAAGATACTTTAAAACAACAGAGGAGGAAGGCTGATGTTGGAGAGAGCAAATTAAACTGTAGCTCACAAAATTAGTAAACTCTCAGTTATGTATTAACCAGTTTCTCTCATGGAAACAATAAAGACAGTTTTTGCTAAACTGAAGTTCATTTCAAAGGGAGGTAGAGTTGAAACTTCTGTATTCAGTAATTTTTCATATTCATAATTAAATGTAGGTGTTCTGAAATGACTCATGAATTTTTAAAAATTATTTTCAGTAAAATATACTCCTTGATAAAAAAGAAAGCATAAATACTGCTGAATCTGAATTAGAAAATGCATTTTAAATGAAAAGATTAAATAAACAGTTATTACTAGTCTTGAAAAACAAGGCTTTTACTGTTATTATTAATAGCTGACATTCAAGGAACACTCACTAAAGGCCTAACAGTGTTCTCAGTACATTCTATGTAACAATCTAGTTCATCTTCACAGCAATTCTGCATGATGGATACTATTTTCACATCTCCAAACTTTCCCAGGAATGGGGAGAAGTTCCCTGGTTGAAAGCTGGTTACCATACTTCTAGTCTTATCCCTGACAATCTAGTTACCACACATATCTTTCTTTTTGCAGCATAAATCAGGTTACATCAATCCTGGATAAAACCTTTAAATGACTCTCAAACATACTTCAAATAAAATACAAATTTCTCCATCCTGGCCAACTATGTAACCTATGTCTTAACTTTCTGACATCACCTTGGAGTTATATCTCCATTACCACTTTGTACTCCAGCCATGTTTAACACCCTAGTTCCTAAAACTCACTAAGCTATTTCTGACCCCAGGGACTTTGTACCTGCTATTTATTTTCTCTGCATAGATTATTTTTATTCTCCCTCTAAGTTTTATTTTAAGTATTATCTCTATTAAGAGTTTTCTATGATCACTCTACCTAATCTATAACTTTCTGGTATTCTCTATCATGGATCTGCTCAAATTAATTAGTGGCATTTATCCCAAGTACTAATTAAATGTTTACTTGTCTTCTGTTATCTGTCTTTCTAATCAGACTATAAGCTACATGAAAGCAAAGATATCTCTATTCACCAAGTACCTATATAACATGACTGACCTAATAATTTAGATCAAGAAAATGTTTGGTGTCAAAGGGGAAAATTTTTAACATGATATTGTATAGATACTATAAAGACTAAGAATTCTTTTTATTTATTTATTTACTTATTTAAGCATACAGAACTGGGAGAAAGGCCAAAGGTGCGGGAGAGGTGAGAGGACTCACCAGAAACAGAGAGGGGAGCAGAACAGGCAGGCTGATGAAGTACACTGCTGAGGGGAACAACAGGCAAGACAGGAGAGGTCTGCTGCACCATGTGGGTCACCCCCCTCACTGGGGATTGAACTCGTACTGCAGTGGCTGTGCTATCTTCGTAGTGCTGTGCTTTACCCTGCTGCATCACCAACGAGGGTCCAAAGATTAAGAATTCTATACTTGTGGTCAGCTACTAAATTTCTATTAGTCCTTTCCTTTATTATAATAATTAAGCTAAGAATCTCAGAAATGGCTAAACCTTATACATTCCACTCTAAATGACAGTTTAAAATAAAAAAGCTGTAACAAAGATAAAGTGCCATGTCACACGGGTGATTTGGTGATGGGAAGCCCATGGGGATTACAACTGAAATGGAAAAAGGCACAAAATGATATAAAAAAAATGCTATAGTGACACTAATAAACTTAATTTCTATTTTCTTCATTAAGTTCCAAGCCAGGGAATTGGTTGAAAACTTCAGTGAGTATGAAAAGTAAATGAACTAAGGTGACACACACAAAAAAAACAAAAACAAAAACATAAAAAGCATAATATTTCAAAGTACTTTTAAAGTGCAAATGTTAAACATTTTCTAGTAACCCACCTCAGTTGCTGGGGATTCTCGTGTATACCAACCACCCAGTAGTGATCAGATTTTCCTTTGCAGTGTTCTCTTGTGTTACATATAGGAGTCCATGTGTTACCAAGTCCTCTGTTAAGCATTCGAACAATGCCTTCTGAGTCCACATAACAGGGGGTACCTGTATGCCAACAGAAAACAAAACACTTAGAGATGCAGCTAAATCACATACTTGTTCAATAAATCTTATTTCAACTAACAATTCAACTTTGAGTTTAAAAAAAGGCAAATAATTCAAGATTACGCCCCATAAGTTTTTATAAACCATATAGACCTCACTGAAAGTGGGGGAAATTACAGGGTAATATGACTTAAATTTGCCAAGTGAAAACTGTTATTTTCAGTGAAAACTATGCCACCTGCTGGAATGTAGCAACATTTTAAAAAGCCAATTTTAGTAAAGGAAATTAAACTTGAATCTGTCTTCCGAGTAGAGACTTTGAAAAAAATGAGAAGAACCTGGTGATAATAAAAAAATCTGTCTTCTGTACTCTCCTTTCCCACTCCTCTTTCTTGCCAGGTCACTGTTCTGTTCCCCAACTCCTAGGAAAGTAACTTTTGCTTAGAAAATAAGCTAAGCATCCCATTTCCCAGCTCTTATCTTCTGTACATGGCAAGTTCCCTAACTATCCCCCTTTCTGTCTGTGACTTCACACCAGCAAATAGCACTCTGCAAATAGCAACTTCCTCAGAATCTATATCTGATTGGTAAGAAAACTACACAAACAGAAGTTATTAATGATCACATTATTAGAGATTAAATGGACTAACATCCCTATTGAGAACACAGGCATAAATGATTGATTTTCTAAAGGCAAGCTGGAGTTTTCAATGATTTTGAAGAGCACAAAGTTCCAACACTAGAAACCACTAGAGACAGTGTTAACAAGTATCTTAAAGTATGGCTCGGCTCTCCCTGGTGGGGCAGCGGGTTAAAGCACAGCATTGAGAATCTAAAGCCGCTTCTGGCATGCGTTCAATTCCTGCCTTCCCTGGAGGTGACCACATGGTGTGGCAGACCTCCCCTGACTTACCCACTGCTTCCCTCAGCAGTGTACTTCGTCGATCTGCCTGTTCTGTTCCCCACTCTCTCTGGTGAAGCCTCTCACCGCCCCTGAGCCTCTGGCCTGTACCCCAATTCTGTATGCATAAATAACAAATAAAAAAATCTTAAAAAAAATAAAAAAATAAAGTATGCTTCAGTGTTCCCCCAAATTACCTGCTATCAACCACTATTAAATAAACTTATATTAACACTATCCAATAACAAAATCAAATGAGACATAAAAGTAGCTTTTAATTCCACATGAGAAGGGGGGATAGATTAAATTTAATAATAGATTTGTTAACTCTATTATTAAATTTGATATATCTAAAATATTACTATTGTAACATGCAAAGTAAAAGAACTGAAATTTGCATACTTTTTTTCCATACAAAATTTTCTAAGCTTAGAGTATTTCATGCTGATAGCACACCTCATTCAGATTAGTCACATTTGCCCAGTAGTTACTGCAGTGGATAAAGGAACAATACAAAATTACTAAGTTCTGTGTAGAATATGCTTGAAAAGCCACAACTTTACCAATGATTTATTTGTATTTCCTACTTGTTATAGAATAAATTTTTGGAAAAATACATATCCCCCCCATTCTAACTTTTCTAAGAATTCTCATGAAGAGAAACAATGGCTACCTTACTTAACAATTCCAGTTTTGTGAACATATTAGAGTAAGGAAATTTAAACTTATAATCAAATTTTCTTTACAAAATTAGAAAATAAACAATTTTCTTCTTGAAATATAGTCTATTTTTTTTAAAGGGTGGGAGAATCTGTTGTTTTTTAAAATATTTATTTCCTTATACATACAGAACTGGGGTATAGGCCATAGATTCAGGGGGGTGAGAGGATCCACCAGAGACAGAATGGGGAACAGAACAGGCAGACCGAAGAAGCACACTGCTGAGGGGAGCAATGGAGAAGACAGGAGAGGTTTGTCGTGCCATGTGGGTCACCCCCAGGGGCCAGGGATTGAACCTGCACTGAAGCAGCTGCAGTCACCCTCACTGCTGCACTTTTAACCTGTTGCTACACCAGGGAAGACCTGAAATATTCTTAATAAAAATAAATGAATTTATCTTGCCTTCAGCTGAAAATCCAACCCATACAAGGTAGGATTTCCTTGAAAGAGGAAGAGGATCACCATGTAAAATTTGTTTTTTCTTTTTCCCCAGCTCTATTAGTTGAACGCCAAGGCACTGCTCTCCATCAAATCCAGTTCCTAGTGAGAAAATATAAATACGTATTATGTATCAAAGGTTATTTTTTATTTTCTGTGCACTGAATTGATTTTGTGATAAATCATTACTTTTTACATATAATTCACTAAGGTATTACACAAGTACTGGAAGCAGAACACTGTTACATGACTTATTTATTATATAAAGCAATTATAAGTGGTAATCCATTTAATTAAGAATTTATCTTTAAGATTTATTTTATTTATTTATTTATGCATAAAAGAACTAAGGTATAGACCAGAAGTGTGGAGAGTAAGAGGATTCACCAGAGAGAGAGTGGGAAACAAAACAGGCAGATCTACTGAAATACACTGCTGAGAGGAGCAGCAGGCAAGACAGGAGAGGTCTGCTGCACCATGTGGGTCAGATCCCTGGCCTGGGATTTAACTCACACCACAGTGACTGGTGATATAACTTGATAGTGCTAAGACTGTAATCCCTGTGCCAACAGGGAGGCCAAACTCAAAAACTACTGAGAGTGCCAGACACTAGGACTACATAGTTAAGTCAAGATAACTCTTCTCTTGAAACTCATATTCACATAAGAGAAAACAAAAGAACAAAAGTGCTGTTATCAAAGAGTTAAAAAATAATGTATTATGGGCCCTCCCTGGTGGTGCAGCGGGCTAAAGCACAGCACTGAGAATCTAAAGCCGCTTCCGCATGAGTTCGATTCCCGCCTGCCCCGGAGGTGACCACATGGC